AAAAACTGTTTTGCAAAATGTTAACGAACAAATCTTTTTTTTTTTTTCCTCAATTTTCTCCACCATATTTTACCCCCATCTTGTCTTACATCAGATTCTCACTTGAAAAGAATTCAACCTGCTTCGAACTCGAACATAAGCAGGCATGATGTTGGATAAATAGCCAATTTCTTCATACCTAAATATATAATCATGAATTCATATCAGCTTGCTAACTATGTAATCTCTCTAACATCAAATTAATTCTTATTTTCTTCCTTCTCCATTGTATTTCTATTCTTTATTTGAAACTTTAGTGAAAATTTAGAAATAGACATTGAAACTTCAAAGTATCTATTCCATGCATTCAATGACATTTATGATCCACAAACGATGTAGTTAGATGTATCCACGTGATTGGGGATCTTTGTTTCGACTCACTGATCCACGAGTGCAATGTATATTTGTAAGGAGTGCAATACCCGATACCTATTTGTGGGGAGTGTGATACCTAAGGACCAAACCAGGCTAGTTCTGAGTAAACTCACGAGTTTCCAGTGCAAGCAGCAGGGAGAGGACCACATACACCAGCAGCAAACCTGCACAGTCAACGACTAAATTTCCAAGGGGGCTTCTGCTTTTGCATAAAAAGGCTCCAAACTTCAACTTCTACTTATCTCTTCAAATTCTACACTCAATCTGTCTGTACGCTCATTTATGTAACGAAAACAAAAACATGTCATCCTTTGACCATATATGTGCTTTTGCTTCTGCATTCAGAGGATTAACTGTTCCACTACCAGACTTTACATAAGCATTACCATAAATGCCAGTTACCAGTGTATATTTTCTGCTTTCTCCTGCTTCTACCCTTCTGTTTCATCTTAATCTGCTAGACTGTCTCATGTCTTCGACTTTAGATTTGGCATCTCCCGGGTTTTTTATTTTCGGAAAAAAGAAAAACCGGGTTCAACAATCCTATTTCATGATTAACAAGACATCTCATCGCGAAACGAAATCAAAGCAAAACTTTCTTGGTCATCACCGAAATTAACAGGTTGGTATATTCCAACTTAGCAAATGACAACTCTGAAAGGGAAAATTAAATTAAAGATTAGATAAATCGTAGCAGATACAATTACAGAATCAGCATAAAGAATGACCATGGAGTTCTAGTACAATGACGACAATCCAAAATACATGTCAAGATCTGCAAATTCTTGAGCAAGAGATATCAAGTTGTAACATTTTTTTAAATGCTCAACGGACCAACAGCTTCATTCCCTACTCCACACACTGCTTAGCGGCTACTGTATTCCAGCAGCAATGTGCAGAACGGCGATTTCACTCCTGCATGAAACTTGAACAGTGCGAAGTCCACCAAGCAAGCATCACTGCTCCCTCTGCCATTGAAGACAAAAGGATTCAATAAGAGGAAAATTTCAGTTATCATCAACAAAATAGTAGTAACTACTCAAATTTAACAAAACCACAATCTGCAGCCCTTCAACGGTTGAAAATGCAAATGCCTTAAAACCAATTTTTCATCCAGACTTTAGAGGGGAACGATGATCCCTTGCAGATAATTTGAAATTCTAAACCAAAATCATAAAGGGTCACAAAGCACTATTCCTTTAAAACATAACTACCGCATGTTTCATGAAATTACTCTAAGGTTTGAAACATCCATATCTCAGATTTGTGGCGGTCTAGTTTCTTACTCACAACTCGGTATGCACAAGTAACCTTGGAGGAACATTGTTTTTAATTCTTCGTAAGTTTCAATAGTCGTGACTTAAGGCCTAACATTTCACATTCCCGTACAAACCACATAATCACAGCAATGAGAACAGAGGAAGTGAGACTGGTATAAGAATCAAGACTTAAAATTCCCACTCCAACTTTTCGAAATTCAAGTGTGGCCCATGTAAACTTAACCTGATCTTCCTTTCCTTCATTTATATCAGCCTATGGATAACTTCAAAAACATAAATGGAGCAAAACTGCTTCTGTGTTGGGGCATCCGGAATAGTAAAATAGTAGTCCCAACAGAGAAGCAATTACTGAAGCCTGACAAACTTTGTCAAGATAAATCAAAGACCTCATCACAGAAACGATCCTTTATTGCCAGCCACATCCTTCTGTTTCTCTTGAACCCTGACAAACCTTTTAGTCCAAGATTAATGTCTGATCCTGTGCCATTTTTCCAGTACCAAGAACCACGTCGGGGAAAGAGACTAAACAACAGCACTTCATGCAATTATTTATCTACCACACCACAGTCCATCACATAAAATACAAGACTGTTTGCAAGGACGCATTTACCAAGGCAATTAATTCTAGGCTTACCAGTGATTTTCTCTTCCCTTTCAATGTTTCAGAACTATTTGTATCATCAAATGTCCTCGGTGCAGATACTAATTTGCATTGCTCCTTCCCGCCGTGTTTGAAAATCACTCGGACACTCACTAGAGGCAAAGTTTGAGAAAGGGTCCATGCTTTGACTCGAACAGATGAAAATGGTCCTCTAGTGTTGTAGAATTCATTAAGAAAGCTTCTACATTTCCTAAAGTTCTTCATAAGTATAGTTGTCGTAGAGTTTTGAATTGAAAGCAAAGGGTTCTATCTTTTTCCTAAACAATACATGCTTTTGTACCTTACAAAGTGTATAACTTCTCTCTCTCAAACCATTCCAGAGACCAACAATAGAGGATTCGACTCTTATTTTAATAGAGATGAAACGAAAATTAACAATCATAACGCGAAATTAACGCAAACTCATACAACAACGATTTGTAATACTTGGAATGGTGCTGCAAATAAAAGTATCAAACACCAAGAATTTCAGAAAATGCAACTTTTTCAGCATTCAAGGATTTGGAAAAGACTTCCGCACTCCCGTTTTCTCCTTCTGCACTCGTCTTTGTTTTTGTCCCTTAATCATCATTTGATTTATTCAATCCAACGGGAGGAAAAGGGAGTGCGGAAATCATTTTCCGCCTAAGCACCCAAATCAACACATGGAACAAGAGAGAAACTTTCTTGAAATGAAAATTTCTAATAGCAAAAGATCCAATCTTTCATTCTTTTTTCATAAAATGATAAGATTCAATAAGAAAAAGGGAAACAAAACAAATCATCATTTGGGACTAGATAATAAAACCCTATACTCAATTCAACCCACCAGCACCAATGTCGCCGAATTAACGTTTGAAACTTTGCCTCTCGGGTGATTCAATGCAACCCAAAACGGCAGAATATACATTCTTACATATATATATACACACACACACACACATACTTACATATATATATATACATATATATATGCAATGACTGAAAAACAGAAACCTAAGAAAGCAGTTTACCGTGTTAAGGAGTGGAAACCAATCTCCGATGAGATGTGCCTCCGGTACGAGGAACAAGAGCCATGAGGAGCCGCTTGGGTTGGAGCTGCAGCAGCAACTACCATCATTGCGTCCTTTTGTCTTTTTTTCGCTTGCTTTGATTCCTCCCTCTCTCTCTAAAGTATTTTCCCGAGAGAGAGAGAGAGAGAGTACTTTTATTGGACCAAGGTGTTTTGTGTTTGTGCGTTGTGAGTGGTGTGTTCTGGGGATTTAAGGAGGGTTTTAGGATTTGCACGAATCACGATGAGACCCTAAACTTTTAACTGTGCCTCTCTCCCTCGCTTAACTTTGCCTTCCTCCCCCTCCCGCCAAATTTTCTTGTCGGATGGTCTTTGGACTAGTCCAGTCCAATCTACAGTTACTTCACTCCAACCCATTCGCTTCTTTTGTATTTTTCAAAATTAAAATAATTTTTACATCAATAAAGTGTACTAACATTACAAAGAGGATCATTGGGCCCGAGGCAGGAGCCCACGCTCATCTTGCACGAGCTTCAGCCCAGAGGCAATATGACTAACGTCAGCATGACGTCTATATATCAGGCTGACGGTGAGTGTTAGATAACAAAGTTTTATATTGAAAATATAACAAAATGACATACAACTTAATGGAAGATTTAGCGCATAATATCACTGTACAACTCCACGCATGATAAGTGAATAAGTTAAGGATGATATTTGCAATGGTGAGCCATGCAGACCTAAAAGTTTATCGGTGTGGGATGAGCAAAACGGACTCTTTGCATTGCAGGGTGGACTATCAACGTAATGAAGGCAAAAGTGAGAGAGAGATTCTTTGTTAGAGATCAAAGTGGAATGAGAGCAATGTATCACACTTTATTTTCGGAACTATATTAGACAATAAATATAGGTAAAGAGGGGAGGGAGATTAGTATTCACTTTCTACTTCTACTTTTGATTTTGTGTAAGGGAAAGAATAAAATTGGCACAAATTGTTTAGAGACAGGTTGATAGAAAGATGGATGATCTTTACATTACAAAATACAAAGGTCCCTTTATATAGGGAAGCCTTACACCCGTAAGAAACAATAGCATGACATCCATGTTTACAATTTCATCTCCCTAAGACTTTTCCACATTAAAGCTTTTAATTGTTGTCACCAAAGCTCATTTCGGTGGTATGTTGGTTTGCTTCTCCATGCACTCATATGTGTGGCATTCACACTATATATCACAATAATTGGGTGGTTTTGAGTTTTTTAAGCCACAAAATAATTGGGGGATGGGCTACCATGGTAGCTAGTTTACACTAACTAGCAAGGGACATCTCAATCATCATGCAGTTTATTTGGAATTCAATCGACGCATTTCAATGGAAAACAGTCCGTGTTGATATTTGACGAGAATGAAAGCGTCAGTTCATCGCATCCATAACCAAGACGGAGAATCCCTGAAATGCTGAAACCGGACAAGGTGGCTGTTCCCTCCTGCTTGAAGTTGCAAGGTGGCTGGTCATTTATAATTGGAGATGGCGATGCAAGTTTAAGTCATACACTCAGCGACGCAATCTCAGTTCAAATTCAGAGTTAATCGAATGCAGCAAAACCACGATGGAAAACTAAACATTTTCTATGACCTCCATAACGAAGATATATAAACTCAAAAAGGCAAATGTCAATTCAAAAACTAACAAAAATGATCATAACTTCAATACCAGAGTAAAATACAAAACAAGCAAAAATTCTGCTAGACGACTCGATATGGACAGGCATACTCGTGGATGTATTGAATCCCACCGCAAAGCCTGTCATTCACCTGCAGCTTGCTATCCCGAATTACTCTGCTGCTTTCTTACTTCTCTTAGACTTCTTCAGCTTTGCTTCTGTGCCCTTCAACTTTTCATCTTCACTCTTCCTCTTCTCCTTCTTTCCAACGGACTCTTCGCCTTTGGCCGACAAATCATCTGCTTTCTTCTTTGTAGCATCTTTTTTCTTCTCTTTCCAAGATAACCCATCTTTCTTATTCTTGACAATGGCACCGTCCTCTTCTTCTGCCTTTGCCGACCTTTTCAACTTCTTCTCACTGTTTTTCTCACCAAGAACCTTTTCCCCATTTAACTCAGCATCATCTTTCGCCTTAGCCGACTTCTTCAACCTTTTCTCACCCTTAGACTCACCACCAACCTTTTCCTTCTTCCTCTTCTTCTTCCCCAATTCGCCACTACCCGGTTCATCATTCTCGCTTTGCTTCCCTTCCCCAATATCCACATCACCAACAATACCCAATTCATCATCATCAAGCACCTCGCCAACATTGCTATCCAAATACCTCACTTCATGAATCCTACCCTTCTTCTTACTCTTCTTCTCACTCTTCAAATCCTTACTCTCATTCTTAACAACCTCCTTCACCTCCTCTGCACCTTCCTCAACACCCTTCTCTTCCTCAATCTTCAATGTCACATCCGGAACCGCCTGATAAACTGGCAATGCAAGCGATTCCAACAACTTCAAATGAAAAGACCTCACACCTCCCCAGTTTTTAGGCACAATCTCCACAATCCCATCAATCGCCGCAACCACATTCGCCACAATCTCATCAACGCTCATCGAAACCTTCGCTACCCTCACCACGCTACACGTCCCTGTACTCAAGTACAACAAAGCCGACCCACAAATCTTATCCACCTGCTCCTTCCAATTCTTGTGCTCCAAGTCCACCGGCACCGGAATCTTCTTCTTCTTAAAGAAATGCTTCCCCAAAAACTTTGGCAGCAACGGCACAATCCGCTTATCAGCCAGAAACATATCATACGAATACATCAGCTTCCTCTTGGCCTCAAAGGGCACGTAATCGCTCTTGAGCTTCGAAAGCTTCAAGATTTTTGACACGGTTATGTTTTCGGCCTTGATTTTCTTCTCGATGAAGTCCTTAGTGAGGTTGGACTTGGGACCGTCGTCGTATATGAGGCAGAGCTCGGAGAGTTGGGAATGGAGGGGATTTGGGAGGGGGATTTTGTACGCGTTGACGCGACCCTTTGGGGGGATTTTCTTGAGGGTAAGAACCAGGTAGGCGAACTCGTCAGATTCCAAGAGATCGGGGTTCTGGGTCTGCAGCTTGTCGTTCCGCCATTTGATGAGGGCGTTTACGGCTTTCCTCACCGTCTTGGTGATCGATTTGGTGGGTTTTGTGGCGGCAGGTGGAGGCGCTATAGTGGTGGCGGCCATGGAGGCGGAGGGAGAGAGTGAGCAGAGGAGAAGGAAGGGAGAGAGTAACGATGTTTTGCTAGGGTTTTAAGGAGAGGGAATCAAAAATCAGGAAAGATATGACATTTTGGGGGTTTAGGGTTTTTGGAGAGAGAGTAGGGATTGAGAATTGTAGTGTTGATTTGGGCTGCAAAATTGGGCTCGCTAGGGTTTTAGTTTTGACTGTTATTCTTGGGCTCACATTGTAATTGGGCTGAGAACATAAGTGGTTAAGTTTAGGCCTTGTTTGGTTTCAACACAGAAAGCAATCATGATAGTTCTAGAGAAATCCGTATTCTCTTTGTGATGATTTCAGAGATCCGTTCATCATACATTGTGTGGTCAGAAATCATTTAAAATTTTTTTTTAATTAAACACAAATAGTATTTGTCGAAAACTAACTGCATGATATACGATGAACGAACACGATTCACAGATCCCCGGGATCCTCACAAAGAGTATCTAGAGATGATCCTGTTGGGTTCTGGAGTAAAAGAAGTTAAAACAGTTTTGGAGTATCACTTAATAATAATGTTTAGTGATATTCATCTTTACTGGTTGGATCTTAAGTTTTTTTTTTTTTTTTTTTTTTTTTGGAGAAATGGAGACATCTTAAGTTTGGAGTGACAAATTTGTTTATGATTATTTTCTCCACTCCTTAGTAAGTTAGTGTAAATATATCATTGTATAAAAGGTGACCTTAAGCTAACAAAACTCCCACTTTTGTGAGGATTGGATGGAATGTCTATAGTATACAGTTTTATTCTTACTTTTTCAAAGAGATTGTTTCCACAATTCAAACATGTGACATTTCGATCACATATACATCATTGTATAAAAATAAAAATAAAATAAAATTTGGAGGTGGTTGGTTTCCATTAACATTTAGGGACACAAGTATCTATCTTGAGGTGACCCCTCAATGTCGATAGTTTTGACATACAAGTTATGGCCACCAACCCCCCTCAATGTCGATTGTTTTGACATACAAGTTATAACCACCAACCCCCTCAATGTTTACAAGTTTATTACTCTCATGATAGCTTTGTATGTCAATCGAACACTCACACTGAGTTCTCAAATTCAATTCTCCTTTTTCGTTCGGTAATATTTGAAAAGAAAAAAAAATTAAAGAAAATTAGAATTTCTTACAGTTTTTCTATATCATTTAGATTAAACATCTATGCTTTTTTAAAATTTGATTAAAGTGTTTTGACCAATAATCACCTATATTTTTTAAAATTAAAATAATTTTTGAATTTATCATTTTATCTACATGATGCACTTTTCCTTATTTAGTAGAGATATTAGTAATTAAACTATATTTTCTCTTCTTCCAAATATGTTTTTTCAACTGCAGTTTTTTTTTTTTTGTTATGCAAATGTTTAATATTATTTGTTTTTCCAAATAATTTTTTCTTTTTCAAATAGTTGGTGATCAACATAAAAGTTCTATGTAATTTTTTCAATTTTTTTGTGAATTTTTTTTTTTTTTTTTTTTGCTGTTTTTTTAAGTAAGTTGTTGACGAATTATTATTAGGTACGATACATTATGTATATATTATCTGCAGGTACGTTTGAATTTACAAAAATCATTAATTGGTACGTTTACTTGCAATTTTAGTACGTTTGATTTAATACATATTGTTAATATTGGTACATTATTTTTATTTTGGTACATTTTATTTTGTACACATTGTGTATTGGTACATTTATATTATTCTCAATCCTATTTTCTCTTAACGTACTAAAAGAAAAACTTATTTTGGTACGTTTGATTTTTGGGGATTTAAAAATATTTTAAACATTTTGGAAAGAAAATATTTTAAATCATAGATAATTATTGTTAAATTGTAGCATTATTGTGAAAATAAATTGAATCTAACCTTTTTTTTTTTTTTTTTACAATTATCTCTAACGGAGGAGAGTGTAATCAAAATGCTAGATTATAGGAAATTTATTATAATATAATGTGCATATAGCACCAAAATTATGACAAAAAAAAAAGTTTAATCAAATCACTAAAAGGTATGGATGTTTGATCTAGAAAATTCAAAACTGAGGCGCCTATATCAAAAGATCCCAAAAAATTAATACAAGTTTCCATGAGAAAAGGAAAGAAAAACTAGTTTGATTAGTTGGTTAAGATAGTGTGCTTACTCCCTCGCACATAACTTTAAATTCAACTCTTCATAAATTAAAAAAGGGATAATTCTAACTTTATTGCTCTCAAGTTTCGCCAAAATCTGATTTTATTGTACAAACTTTTTTTGTCTCACTTTTATACGTAAAGTTTGATTTTTCTGCTTTTTTGATACTCATGTTAGCCTAACTGTTAACTGAGGCCATCTCCAACCAGCTGGCCAGAGGGCTTGTTTTAGCCCTCTGGCCCTCCAAGATTCTCCAAGATATTAATATTTTAATGAACAATATAGGGCCATATTTGTCTCCGTCTCCAACCGAGGGCCATAGAGCTCGTTTTAGCCCTGTCATGAAAAATCGTCTCCAACCGAGGGCCAAAAGGCCATAGGACCAAACATAATTTATTATTTAAATTTAAAAACTACAACAACTTAAATTCAAATCCAACAACTTAAATTTAAAAACTACAACGATAACTGGCCCAAAAAACCAAAAAAATTAGAATTTAAATTTAATGAATGGTTTAGGTATTTATAAGAAAAAAAAATTAGAATTTTTAAGAATTTAAAAAAAAAATGGCCGTTGCTTTAAAATAAATTTGAATACAACAGCTAGCTGACTAGCCGTTGCATTCAAATTTTTTTTTAAGCAATCATGTCGGTTATAATCGACAAGAATGCTATATTTTCTGTCCAGCCCCAGGCAAGCAGCCAGCCCTCTAGCCCTCTAGCCCTCTCCAATTCCGTGGGGCTCCCTAGCCTAGCCCTTGGTTGGAGACGGTTTTTAGGCTATTTTCGGCCCTCTGGTCCTCTGGACCCTTCGGTTGGAAATGGCCTGATGATGTGGTTGGATCCCGGCCCGGTAATTCTCACTTTACTACTCTCATGTATCGTGAAATTTGCACATTGCTACTTAACTTTTTTTCGTATTACTTTCATAACTAAAATTATATTTTGCTCTCATATTCATACTTTTGTTAACCTGGCGTCAGGGGCTCCGTTAAAGTGTGACGTTGCGCTTAATTGAACGATAACTATGCAAAAAACGTGGCATTGAGAACCCACATGGACATATGAAACAATTAATTAAATTAAATTTTTTTTTGCAAAATAAAAATAATAAATAAAATTTGCCCGCGTGGCAACATATGTGTTCTTAAGTTCTCAAAAAAACTTAATTTAGTGAGAGCTTATTTCAAAATCTCTGCTTGAAATATCTTGTACATCTTGTGAGGGCCACAGCATTGCATTTCTACACAGTCATCGTTCAATCAAAGCGAGACACGACGCTTGGCCATTGTTCATTTGTTACCAAGAAAGAAAACAATAAACTTAAAACATGGCCTATGCAAAGGAGAGTTTTGCTGATCAAACAAAGCAAACAAATTCTATGTTACTTCGGAATAAAAAATACTTTCAATTTTTTAACAGTTAAATCTTTGTGTTTTTGACCAAAATAATAGTTAAAAACTTAGAATATCATATATTTCAGAACAAAATAAAAAATTCACAAAACAACGATGCTGCATGAACCCCATTGTAAGCCTCGTCTTTGTGTTTTTGACCCAAATAATAATTAAAAACTTAGAATATCAGATATTTCAAAACAGCGTAAAAAATCCACAAAACAACGATCCGGCATGAATCCCATTACAATCCTTTAAATTAAAAAGCAGCATCCAGAATAATATCAAAATCACCGCAAAGGAGCAAACCACTGACTCAAAGGCTCAAAGCTAGCAATTATTTATTCCAAAAGAATTATTTGTACTTTATATATCTCACGCAAATATTGTATAAAGACAAAGCATTCTTTTTTTTTCTTCTTAACAAATGATGTTATTTATACTAAGAAGATGAAGGAGTGGTCTAAGTCTCACACAGGGTTAGCCATAATAATATGGTTCAAATTCACCTTTAACGAGAATCAAATCTATAACCTTTAACTTACAAATAAAGAAAAATATCACTGAACCGTAATACTAAGTGGCTGCACAAAGCAATCTTAATGCCAAAGTAATGTTACACCCTTGGTGTTGGGTGGTGTGAGTCTTGGTCATATCATCTCAATGGCCCCATTCCCTGCCTACAAAGTTTCAAAGGGTAGGACACCATCAACGTCGTAGTTCCCTCCTTGAGCCTTTCAATTTCAATAAACGTTAAAAACTCATTGTATTCTTTTTCTTTCCTTATCATTTTCCTTCGTAGTTGTACACACCTGCATACCATTCCACCATCTTTAACTTCCCTACCCGACATTCTATATCCTCTCTCTCTCTCTCTCTCTCTCTCTCTCTCTCTAAATACTTGGCAACCAGTCAACGACACTAAACCATGCCTCCACGTCCTAAGAAAATCAAACCAAAACTACTTGCCAAGAAGAAAACAAAAAACGTTAAAAACTCATTGTATTCTTTTTCTTTCCTATCCTTTTCCTTCGTAGTTGTGTACATACGTGGATACCATTCCACCATCTTTAACTTCCCTACCCGACATTCAATATCTTCTCTCTCTCTCTCTCTCTCTCTCTCTCTCTCTCTCTCTCTCTCTCTCTATAAATACTTGGCAACCAGTCAACAACACTAAACCATGCCTCCACGTCCTAAGAAAATCAAACCAAAACTACTTAGCCAAGAAGAAAACCAAAAACACAATCCGTCAATCTCCACCTACCCTTCAACCCCAACAACCCCCACTCCAAGGTTCTCTCTCTCGGGTTCCATTTTATTATGGGGTATGCTGTCTACACATTCTTTTTTATTTTTCACATATCCTTCTTAATTTTCAACCAACGAATCTAATGAATTGAAGAAGATTAAATGACAGAAATTAACAACTGGTGTGTAAGATGTAATAAAGAGCGTATAGACAGCACAGCCCTTTATTATTTGTTAAATTGCCATTTGGCTATTGGATATTGGTTTCCACATAGGTTGACTTACTGTTTCCCGTTCATACCTCTGTAAATTTTTTCCGGCTCTTTCTACTTTGTTAAACTAGTACATATGAAATGTTTCTGACTTGACTATATTTTGTGGTAGACAAAGAATTAAGGAGTTGCCAGACTGCCTCTGCAACTTGTCAAAATCATTCTGCCGGTGATCAATATTCGGAGAAGGAAGAGAGGCAAAAAGTTTCTGCAAATCTTAACGAAATGGCGGATTCTTCAAATGGGAAGCTTGAGGGGGATGAAAATGTTCAACCGGGCGATGTTGGGGACTCAAAACCTGTGGTTGAATCCGTGAGGGATGTGGCCATCGATGCTGGTTCCGAGCCGGCAAAGGAAACCCATGAAGATGATGCTGATGGTTCGAGTTCGAGTTCCAGTAGTTGTAGTTCGGATGAAGAGGCGGAAAGTGCTCAAGTGGTGGATCATTCAGGGGAAGTGGTAGAGGAGAAGACGGAAGAAGTTGATGTCTCGGTTGTTGAGACGGTTGAATCTGTGTCCAACCATTTGGATCAAGGTGGTGTTGCGGAGGAAACCGAATCGGAGGAGGTGGTGGAGGAGGAGAAGGTGGTGGCGTCTTTGGATGAGACTGATGAATCTTCTCCGGCCATCACGGAGGAGGTGTCGAAGCAGGTTGAGGAAAAAACATTGCCATATGTGGAAGAGAGTAATGGGGTTTCATCAGTCGAAACCGGTTTGGTGTCCGAGGAGGTTGAAGAATCAACATTGCCGTTGAGCAAGAAAGACGATTGTGCTCCAGTCATAACATATGTGGAGTCGAAAGGAACTGATGAAGCAGGTGTGGAGTCGAAACCGGTTCCTGATGCTGTTGCAGATGTTGTGTCAAAGGGAACCGAGGAAATAAAATTACCGGTTTCCGAAGAGCAAACTAGGGAGTCATCAGGTACTGCTTACAAGGAAGAGGTTCGAGTAGTCGAATCAGCTGATGCCGGACAAGATTATGGCAAGGCCGTGATCCCCGATAGCACAGGAAATCCGGTAACCGATTTGCTTAAGTTGTTCTAACTTGTGTAGCTTACATAAAATTCTTTTCAAATCAATGACGACTTCTTTGTTTATCTGTTAGCCGTATACTGTCTCCGTTGCCGGACGCCCCCTGCATCCGACTTCATGGATGAGTTGCTGTGGACTTTTCGAAATTCTGCACCGAAGATCTGACAGATAATTTAAGGTAATTAATTGAAGATAATACTCTTCCGAAAATAGTTAGCTGTTGCATTACAAGTTCAAACTACGCTCTTGATTTGTTTCGTTTCGTTTCGATCCGAGGATACTTTGTAGCTAAGTTATTACTCGCTAGGGTTTATCTGTACATTGTTGTTCTGCCTGTTCGGTTTCAAGTTAGTTGTCCTGCTGCTTTTTTTCTTCAGTCAAAACTTGTCCTTCTGCCGTATGTTATACGAGATTGTACATTTTTCTCAATCTGCAGGAACCAAAATCTATACGGATCAAGAAATTGATCAATTTTCCTGCTATTTTTTGCTTTAAAATGTTTATGTATTTTTAGGTGAACTGACCTAATAAGGCTTTGGGATATGCTGTCATGTGTTGGCATATAAACTTTTGTATATTGGAATGTTGCATCATAAACATGGCTTTACAGTTATGGGTGGCCTATAATGCATGGGTCTATCAGAAGGTCACACATATGCACATATGAGTTGTCTTAGAGATAGTCGGCCATGCGTGGGAGCAACTGTCAGCCGTTGATAGAAACGGTTTTGCCCAGCAACGGCTGATAGTCATCCACACACATCTCCTTGATTGCCAATTGCATTTCTCTTCAAAACTCTCTGTTTCTTAGACTTTGGGCTGACTACGGACCTGAACTTAGTCAAGTTGATTGTAACAGTGTATCTCTCCTTTTGCACCCCCAAGTTTAAATCATCTTTCCTATAATTTAGATGATTTTAGACTAGAATATTATATCGTTTGTCAAAAAACTCTGGGCTGACCGTATTTTCTTTTTCGATCTCTATTCTTCAGAAACAGAACATTACGGCTAGTGCAACTGAGCCATGAAGGTCGCACAGCTATACCTAAATCGATATAGTGTTTGAGATTTAGAGCTTCACTTTGTGTTAGCAGCTGAGGATTTGAGATTGGTTATTCGTGATTTTGTGTGGAGTGAATTTCATCATCCGGTATATTTTCCATATTTAGTGAAGAACGGTTCTTCTATATTCCTTTCAGTGACATGTATGTACCAAGGATTTCAATTTTTAATTTGGTATATGTAGAACTTAAGAATCTGTTACCCAATGTATATCATCTATACATTGATGATTGATGGTTGATGCTAAAGAAAGGTTTATGCTTGAGTGTTAATTTTTAAATGTTACTGCCCTTGATACGACAATAACTTACTTGCAACAGGATGTATATTTGCAATGCCACTCGAAACTCAACTTCAATCTGACTTTGCCCCTCGAAACTAAAATTTCACTACTTCGCACCGTGAAACTCAATATTAGTTCTGGACGAATTATGTCAACTCCGTCAAAATTGATGATGTGGCTTGAAAAGTGCATAGGTGGCCACCAAGTGGCAGTTTGGGAAATGGGTAATTTGGTCAAATTGTCAAGTGAAGGCTTTCCATAGCAATCAAATTGTCAAGTGAAGGCTTTCCATAGCAATCGCACCTCTCTTCGGCGCCGGATGCTGCACCAAAAATATTTGAAATTCGGGGTTTTTGTGGTTGGATTCAGATCTTCATGTTCTTCTGATCAAAACATTACGCAAATTAAACAAATCAAAAGCAATCATCAACGAAGGAAATTAAGATTAATAAACAAAGACTAAATAGTTAAGAATTTTACAAACCTGATTGTTTGAAGGTCTGACAGTGGAGATAACTGAGCCGCTTGCCTGCTGAGCTGCAGCCTGCAGGCATGGGATCTTGAGCACGGCACCGCTTCCTCCGAGACCAGCAACCATTTACGTCTTATCCCCACCACCACAAACTTATCGGACGCTGCCTCCACCATATTCTCCCTGAGCCGCGCCATTTCACCGCATCCAAATTTGGGTCGACTCCATCTGCGCCGATCGCCAAATCGATCATTTGGGTGGTCGAGCACCAAAAGAGGACTTACAACTGGGTGAGGAAGCGCTTACTCCAATTCGCCGGATTTCAGAGGCGCCAGAGACGCGTGGGTATTAATGACGTGGAAAGAAAACTACGTATCAGTTTCGGCTGCCCCGGATAATATCTCGTCCAACAGTACCAATAAAGCTGCAATTACTATACTACCCTTGCACGTCAGCACATTTGATGCCAATTTAACCGAATTGACGCGTGGGTATTAATGACGAGGAAAGAAAACTACGCATCAGTTTCGGCTGCCCTGGATAATATCTCGTCCAACAGTACCAACAAAGCTGCAATTACTATACTACCCTTGCACGTCAGCACATTTGATGCCAATTAACCGAATTGACGCGTGGGTATTAATGACGAGGAAAGAAAACTACGCATCAGGTTCGGCTGCCCTGGATAATTTCTCGTCCAACAGTACCAACTAAGCTGCAATTACTATACTACCCTTGCACGTCAGCACATTTGATGCCAAATTAACCGAATTGACGGGATTCTGCCAAAGTGAAACGAATATCGAGTTCCTAAGTGCAAAATGGAGAAATTTTTGTTTGAAGGGACAAAATGAAATTGAAGTCGAGTTGAAGGGGACATTAAAAAAATTAAGCCTTAAAAAAACCGTTAGAACGAGGCAAAATTGAGTGCTCAAACGCATTTCTTTTGCTATATTGAAGTGACTGAAACCCTTGAAACAAACTGCATGCGACACAAAGCAAAGGATAAAACAGCTCTACTTGCTTTCTGCACAAGTTTATGAGTTGGTTAGTAAGAAGGTCTGAAGGACTCAAGGACTCAAGGACGAGAGAAACTTGGATCAGAGGGCGGTTATGCGCCCGGTTTCATGTAAGTTTTAGCCCCAAATCACACGGTGAAGCCAATCTCACAAAGGACCAGATCAAAACTGTAAGATCGAGAGCTGTTTCAGATGCACCGTATCCAAAATCCCGATGGCCATCAAAAACTCCAGCTAGAAGTCTAGAATTTTCGTAGATTATTAGAACACAAGAATCAACGATTTGATAGCAAAAGCAAGTCCAGGAACAAAACAATATGAGGCACTAAAATGGATACGACTTGATAAACGATTAAAATCAAAGAATTACTGCTCAGCTTTGAGTCTATACCTACACAGAAGATCAACTTCTCAGAAAAAGGGTTCGAATTTGCATAAACGTGAGCATGAACTGATCCTCAAAAGAGAGTATACTACAATTAACCAAAATTGAATGCAAACAATAATAGTAGAATTCAGAAGCCCTAGCACAACCACCCCCCCCCCGGCGAGGGGGAAAAAAGGGGGAGCAACATGTTACCATACCAAACCCAACCTACCAGGTTTATGACTAGTTCAACTCTAATCAAACGACAGCTTTTCGTCAAAAACTACTAAATGGAACTTTAAGGAAAGCACCAACAAGGAAATTGAACATATTCAGTGAAAGTCCTACGTGTTCGAGATATCAGATTAACAATGTGCTTACAAACCATCAAATAATTAGCAAAAAACAGTCATGCAGTATTTGTTTATTCCAGCAATTAAATATGGCTTGGAGAACACAGGGTACGAATACAGAATAGTTATAGCCAAAGTATGATAAATCCTTCGAAACTATATATATATGGAGTTTTATTTTTTTTTTTCCAACCAAGCAAGCAAAAGCTAAACGAAACAGCATCACAAACTGATAGAATTAACAAGATAGGCTCGCAAAAAACCAAAAGCCAACAAAAAAGCATTCATAATTCTAACAAAACTGCGACATATGCTCTTAACCAAATAAACCCTAACCTCTAGCTTTAAGCCTGCCCAGATTTTTCCCTCTATGCCGCATTGCGGTCCAATCACCTCTGCCTTACATACAACATATAGACAACAGCAGCTGCTGCGGCAACGACTCCAGTGGACCCTGCCACAACTGGCAAGCTCAATCCTTTCAACTCTGTCTCTCTAGAAATCTCCTTCACTTCATTCACAGTCCCATTAATTTCCCCAACAGTCCTCTCCTTCAATCCATTAATAACCTTTTCAGCATCCAGCACATCCTTCTGCAATTTTCCCATCTTCATTTCCATGCCTCTGCACTTATCCTCTGATTCCCTCAACGCCGCCTCGACATTGAGCTTCTCACTCACTCTCTTCCCCAATTCAGCATTGTTCTTCACAATCACCGACTCCAAATCCTCCACTTTCTTCTTGAACAAGCTAAGCTCACTCTCTTTCTCATCAAGTCTCTCTCTCATCTCCTCCTCAACCCTAATTTTCTTGCTCTTCTCCTCAGTCTCCTTCACTTCCAAAACCCCAATCTTCCTCTCCAATTCCCTAACCCTCTTCTCGCTATCAGCCTTCGCCTTCTTCAGGCTCTCAAGCTCCTTCTCCAAGCTATCAATTTTCTCCCCCTTCTCGCCCAACACACGCTTCAGCTCCGCCACTTCGTTATTTGCATCCTCCCCTTCTGCCATGGCGGAGATCAGATCCTGTTGGAGCCTCGCTACCTCAGTCTCAAGCTCCATCGCTCTATTCGCAACCGATTCCAGCACATCTTTCCCCTCCTCGGTCCGTTCAATCTCCAACTCCATCTCCCTGAGCCTCTCCTTCGTCTCCTTCTCGCTGCTCTTTAATTTCTCGATCTCCGCCATCAGTTCCTGAATTTTCTTTTTCGTCTCCTTGTTCTCGCGCTGGAGCTCGAGCTTCTCCCGCTCCAAACCCTCGACCTTGCGGCCCAACTCCGCCGCCTGATCGGCATCGAAGAAATTCTCAGCCTGATCGTCCACGATTTCAACCGTCTTCTCTGCCATTTCTAACCCTAAAACACACAAACAAACAAACAAACAACAAAAACCAATCACAATCTGGAAATCGTAACTACAAAATTTCAGAATACCTGTTTGGCTACCGAGAAAATCACAACCAAGTTTCTCCAACCAATTTTCTTGCAGTTTTTGATATTCCAGAAAACGAAAGCGAGAGTGACAGTAAGAGAGAGAGAGAGAGAGGACAAACCCAGAACCGAAAGCAATCAGCAATGGCGGTTGAGTGATCCGCGTGCGTGCGCGTCTGCGTGGGATGAGAATGTTCCAAGTAAACAGGGGGCGATAGAGTTTTAGGGTTTCTTCTTCTGCTGCTGACAACTTTCCGTTACTTCTCTTTCTGTAGAACTAATTAGGCATCGAATCTAATTATCTCTGATGACGAAACGGACGGCTGAGAGTCGTCGATGGTTCGGTGCACGTGTTAAAAGGCGTGGGGACAAAATATGATGCTTCACAATTTCCACTTTCTAACTTGCAAGTTGCAACGTATATTAAATATTTGGCCAATTTTTTTTCGTAATTCTTGTGGTGATACGGTATTTTTAATGCAACCCTTGTAGTGAAAAAGCTTTTAATTAAACTTTCGTGATGAGCTTTATTAGTAATTAAGGTCTAAATCCAAAATTTTGTTAGTCTTCCGTTAAATAAAGTCACATGACTATCATATGGAGGGTCAAATTCGTCATTTCAATTCAAATTACATCCTATTCCATGGACATCTAGTATGAGTTAGGGTTTAATGGAAATGAGATTTTACAGAAAAAAACTTGAATGTAAAGAGTGAAACTAAACATGTAAAACGACGTCAATGGCTAGGAGAAGAGGTGAAAGTGAAGTCGTGTATAATTTCTTAAGTACGATTTAATTTTGCTTTGAAATAATGATACTTCTAATAAACCATTGTTTTTATTTTCAATGCCAACACGTTTTTTACCATGAGTTAGAGTCTTAATCTTACTTGACTTTTCATTCTTGTATCAATTTGTACCAGTCTGAATGCATATATGCCTTTTAATTTTGTCTTTAATTGATAGTGTGGTTTGATGCACGCCGTAGTTGCCCAGTACACAACCTTTCAATTTTTTTCTTGATCTTTTTTGAATTTTAATTATTTAAGTTTCTTACGCTCTTGAAGTTCATAAGCAGAGGGCAAAAGCGAAAATTGAATTTTTTGCACTGCCTTTCACCCATTGTCTTTAATTCTTTAATTTTGCAATGCCTTTCACTCGTCTGAATGCATAAACTGCAATGTCGCTCACCCGTTGTCTTTAATTCTTTAAGTTATTCTTGTAACTTATCTCTCATTTTCACTTGTTTCAATTTGCTTTGTGCACTGGAATCAAATGCCAACTTTTTAACTCACAAGAGAAACAAGTGTATGTCATAACTCATCCAGAAAGAACAAGCGTATACCTAAGTCATACTAGATGTCCATGGAATAGGATGTAATTTGGATTGTAATGATGTATTTGACCGATCCATGTGATAGTCACGTGAGTTTATTTAACAAAAGACTAACATAAGTTTGGATTTGGACCTCAATTGCTAACAGGGCTCACCAAGGGAGTTTAATTAACAGTTTTTTTTTTTTTCACCATAAGGGTGACATTGAAAGTGGTGTGTCACCACAGGGACCACAAAAAAAATTTGGCCTAAATATTTTATTACTAAAACGTAGTATTAAGTGACTTGTATACATAAATATTAACAATGCAATGGGTCGACAATGGTTGTGGGAATGTGTTTTTTCTTGGTAGAGGTGCACAACAGGCTAGTCAGAGGGGGAATGGTAGAATTCGAGATGTAAGAGAAATACCTAACCATTAAGGCAATCCCCTACCTACCAATGTTTCTACTAAGAGCATCTCCACCAGTTGGTGGAGTGGTGGAGTACAATGGCAATTCGAGGGCAAAGGCTATAAAATTGCCCTTAATTTTCACTCTCAATAGTAATTGCTTTGTGCAAGTCCACTAGTTTGGAAGGAGGAAGGGCAAGGGCAAGAGCAAAATGATTACCATTCACTAACATATTTTTTTTTTATGGTTTCTTCGTCTTATCCCCACATATCATTATTGCCATAGATTTTTGGGTAATTGTAAATGTTTAATTTGCAAGTCTATTGAACTTGGTAAGATTTTTAAAGTGCGAACTTTGTAAGTTTTTTTTTTTTGTATTTTTTTTGTATTTTTTTATGATTTTTTAAATGTTTAGAGTTTGATTAATCTTAGTTGTTGAATTAAATAAAAAAAATTGAAATCAAAGGCTCACAACGAGCCATGTGGGTGGGGAAGTGAGAGAGCTAGTGAACAGCTCTAAACTGGTGGACATGCTCTAATAGAAAAATATAAACGTGAGCTAACATTTCATAAACGCACATTGTTCAATCTAACGGCTAGAAAATAAAGAAATGTGTGTGGGATGAGAGAATTGGGTATGAAAATCATTTTCCGTGTAAAACAACTCTATTCATTACAATCTAAATAAGGCTCACATTTCGTAGAGGCCCATTGTAATTCATGTTTAAACACAACCACCAAAACCAAGCCCAATCTTGTGTTGGTCGGCAAGCTTTGGAATCAAAGAAAGCATGGAGAAGAGGGGAGGCAGAAGACAAACACAAGAGAATGGGCAAAGCCTGCAGTATTTATTTGGTTTGCCGTAAACCTAAAGAAAAATAATGGCAACAAACAAGTTAAATTTACAGCGATACAGACAGAGATCGTTACAGGTTGTCCACAGTCCAACATATATGTCTGGGCGGGCTGTTCCTTTCGCATGCAGGTTGTTTAATAAACCATGAATGTTCCACGAGAGGACCACCTGCAATTTGCAGAGAGAGAGAGAGAGAGAGAGAGAGAGAGAGAGCTCTTTCTTTTTTCCTTATATCTTATAAGACAAACACCTCCACTACCACTTTTCCTTTGTTTCTTCTTATCTTTCTTAATTCATCACTCTTAGTGCAAGCAAACGAACGATCCATAACCCTGCATGTATACATGCGTGCACCCCTTGCAACTGGATGGTGGTTTTCCAACTGCACCCATAAAGTTTTACGTCTCAAAGTCTCAACTTGCTTTTGCTTGTTTGGCGCAACATGAAATTGGAAAACCATGGCCACCATATGTAGATGATGTGTTAGATCTACGTCCAATGTATCTGTATATATGTCTCCAAGATTTGACTCGTATTTCAAACGATGCGCGATTATCTCACTTTCTTTTATAATACTTTTAAAATAGTTTAAAAATGCGTTCATAGTACTCATAAATGATTCTTGTGGTGTTGTACGGAAAAATTTAAAATTTTTCCAAGTTATACACAAAAAGTATAATTAACTAAAATGATCAATATCAAATTTTTAATTGTTAAACTAATTAAAATTAAAGTGTTTTTTTTTTTAACTTTAATCATTCGAGAAGATTGAAATTTAAAATAAACGTGTTGTTAGATTACATATTGATTATAATCCCTTGATGTGTCATTAATTCAAAATAATTAACGTGCATTTGATTTAATGTCTCCCATTAAAATTTTAAATTTATTAATATACAAATTTTAATTTATTTTTTGAACAAAAAAGAGTGTTTTAATTTATTAATTTTATTTAACATTCTTCAACTTGAAAGACTCAATTAATGTACCTAAATATGTGTACCGAAATATATTATATTGAACTAATATATTTAAATGTTAGTACTGAAATATATGCACCGAAATGTATTATATTAAATTAATGTACATAAATGTGTGTGCCGAAATGTATGCATCGAAATGTTAGGACTGAAATGTATTATAATGAATTAATGTACCTAAATATTTGTATCGAAATGTATGTACCGATATGTGTGTACCTAAATGTGTGCACTAAAATGTATTATAATGAATTTAATGTACCTAAATGAAGAAGATAAACATTGAAATATATTGTATAACAAAAATTAATTTATCTAAACAAAATATATTACAATAAATAAAATGAAAATGAAATAAAATTAATACATTAAAAATTAGGAAGAAAAAAGAGAAATAATTTAAAAAATCAAAATATAATTAATAAATAAGATTATTAATGTATAAATGGACTAAAATTAGATTTTAATCTTACTCATGATTTTAATTTAAAAATCATCTTTGCCAAGGATTAAAATGAAGTTTTCTAAAAATTAAATATCAACGACGTAACAATGAAATATCGATCACATACTAAAAAACTCATGAGAACTAACTGTTTAATTTTGATCATAAGTTGCCCTTAATCGAATGTAAAAAAAGTGGCAAATCCACTTACATAGTTTGACAACATGTCTAATTAAACTTGTCAGGTTCAAAATCAACATTTGAAACTTGAAAGGTGCACAAAGTCACAAGTAATGACATCATCAAGTTGTAATAATCCAAAATGAATCCAAATCACTAACTAATCACCGAAAAATCTCAAAACTAATTCAAAGAAGAATCAGATTAGTCGACATCGTGGGTGACAAGCATGATCTTCTCACCGAAAAATATCAAAATTAATCCAAATCACTAACTTGATAATGTTGTACTCGCACGCATATTAAAGTTATGCATAGTGACTTAGTATCTAATAAGATATAAACATGATTGTCTGTCACCTCAAGAAATACTATTCAAGCATAGGTTTTTGATGATCTTCATTATAATTTGGCTCCCTACAATTTAGGTTTACGCCTCTCTAATTTGGCTCTTTTCAACTAAGGTAACGATCTCATTATAAATTGTCTCTTCCTATTTGATTCCTCTCTAATTTGGCTCTTTTCGAATGAGGCTTACAATCTCATTATTAGTTCACTCTTGTCGATCGTTGTTCTTTAATTTGACTCTTTTCGCTGTAAGATACATGACATTCCATAATTAGTTATGTATTTATTCCAGGATATTCACTTTCTCACTTTCTCCTATAACTCATATGGTAATACACACATGAAAGAGATTACTTCTCATAACCTATAACTATTCAAAACTAAACTCATTGTCCTGTGTGTTGCACTTGATATATAATCTAAGGAGGCTAGTTACAATAATTGATTAACATTAGTTCAAATTAATTAAAGCCAAGACACCAATTGGACCTCATTTTATTAATGTTTCGTATATGTATAGGAGGAGATGCCAAAACCCATATGTAGCATTAAAGTTTAGTCATTTGGAGTAGCTCACTAACCACATGCTAACCATCTTCTAATTACTGTATTTAGGACACTAATTGCCACTAGTTTTCTCAGTAAACAAACAAACCAAATAAAACAAAATAGACCAAGCAAACATGAGACACCAAGGGACATGCAGCCTACCAGATGCAAAATTATATCATTATCTAATCACAAACTCCTTGCCCTCCCAAATACACTCACATCTCTGCAGTTGCAGCACTCATGAAATTCCTGCAAATTATGATCGAGTCATGTTGCATTACCAACCGGTTAGCGCTCGATAATTCCAACATTCATGTTGAAAAGGGCATTATATATCATTTCTTTAGTACTAGAGAACCTTGATCTTTTCCTATCCATTACAAAAATATCAAAAAATTAACATTATAAAGAAGAAAGAAAAGGTAAAAAAGAAAAAGTAGAAAAAAAAAAGAAGCTACCCAAGTAACCCAGCAAATAAAACCGAAAATTTTAAGGAGAAAAAAAGGATTTCATTGGTCTGTCATGGAACCAGATTAATAACCTTCCAAACTCCCAATCAGCAAGAGATCCCATAATTTAATTAATTAAAAACTAATTAATCAAATCAACCACCAAACTTCCTCTTCTCCTTCTCCAAACCTTCAACAAAGCTGGCAAGTTCTTTCATGGCTTTGAGCTGACCCTGCAACGCCATTATGTACCCAGCAGTCTCTTCAAAAAGCTCGTCCACCCCGCGCGACTCACCGCCGGGAACAATCCTCTGCAATGCCTCAATCTTCCTCTCCACCTCCTCCTTCTCACCGTCCTCCTCCTCGCGACTTGCAGTCTTTACATCGTTGACCATATCACTCTTCATGTTCTGTTTTCTGCTTCTTCCGTGAGTCGACTCCGCAGCTCTCTGCAGGAAGTTTTTGCTGGATAGAGATTCCTGCACCCCATTTCCCATGCGGGGTTTTAGCTGGTTTTTTCTGTGTTTCCTCTTGAATGTGGATTTGGGTAGCTGGGTTTGTGTTAGGGTTTGAGTTTGAGCTTCCTCCATTGATGAAGAAACACAGAGAAGAGTTTTAGAGAGAGAGAGAGGGGTGTGTGTTTAACTGATGACTTTGTGAGAGAGAGAGAGAGAGAGAGAGAGAGAGAGAGAGAGAGAGGTGTGTTTAACTGATGACCTTGTGAAGGAGGAGTTGGCGTTAAATTATTGTTGTGTTTAACTGATGACTTTGTGAGAGAGAGAGAGAGAGAGAGAGAGAGAGAGAGGTGTGTGTGTTTAACTGATGACCTTGTGAAGGAGGAGTCGGCGTTAAATTATTGTTGAGCTGCTAGAAATGTCAAAGCCAACGAAGCTTTAGGCCCACAGAGTTTTTGGCTTCCCAAGCCCTAGCTCTTGTTTTGGACTTTGGAGTCTTGTGCTTCACTCTTCACGACTCTAACGAGCGCGTTGGATTGGTTATTAAGGTATCAAGACAAATGCTATGTAAATCCAATTGCTAATTTATATAAGTTCATGGTACTAGAGTCAAGATTTTTAACTTTTTTTTTGACTTTTAAGTAATGTTTGATACAATGGATTGGATTGAAATAGATTACTATCTTCAAGATATGCTGAAGGAAGAAATAAATAAATTGTGACTTACTTGAAGGTTGTGGGGTTGGCATCGAGTGTGGGGATGGATGGTGGGGAAGACGGACCATCAATATGAGACCACAAACCATGTCCATGAAGAAAAGAGGTAATTTGACGGAGCCATATGAGATAGTTAGAATGAGATAGTTTGATGAAGTTTGTGATGGTGGGATTTGGAATAGAGGACGAGGAGAAAGAGGCCATGACAAACAGATAAGAAAACCGAAACCCTAGAATCTAGAAAAGCTAATACCATGTAGAAATGAATTTCCTTGATGTCATTCGTGTGTAAAGAATACAATATATTCTTCGTCTGGATAGAGACTCATTGGAAACTACAAAGAAGTATACAATGGGCTAGGTACAATGGTTAGAAAAGGAATATATACAATGGCTAGGTTCAATGACTAGAAACTTATGAACATTTAATATTATTTAACATAATGTTTATCCATTTTAATCCTCTCAAAAAAATGGTAAAATTAGAAAGAAGAAGTTACTTAAATGTCTAATTTCTTCTAATCTTTATGAAGAAGAGAGATAATTTGACAGAGCCATATGAGATAGTTATAATAAGATAATTTAACGAAGTTTGTAGTTGGGATTCGGAATGGAGGACAAGGAGGAAGAGGCCATGACAAACAGAAGCTAAACAAAAGAAGAAGAAGAAGAATGACACAATCATAGGTAAGAAAACCGAAACTCTAGGATCCAAGAAATTTGATACCATGTAGAAATGAATTTCCTTGATTTTATTTGTGTGTAAAGAGTACAATATATTCTTTGTATGGATAAAGACTCATTGGAAACTACAAAGGAATATACAATGGGCTAGTGTTTGGGCCCAAAATAATATTTTAGGCAAAGCTTAGAGTTGTTCTCGGCCCAATAACATTCATCTAGAATCTTGTTATGGGCTGTCCAGTTAAAGTCGGACGAATTCTGTTGCTAGAAGGATTGGTTTAGATCAGTGAGGTAGTCAAACCCTAGTGCAACAAAGAATCTTAAAGCTGAAGATGCTTAGAATTAGGGGATGAATCTGGTTCGTTAAAGAGCTTGGTTCAAGGTCCTATAAGGGTTAGGATTGGCCGAAACCTGATTAGATTGGGTTAAGGAGTTCTAATCTGAGTACATTTCTAGTTCGACTATAAAGGGGGTTTGCTGCTATAAATAAAGAAGGGAGTGCATCATTCAAAGCCCCTTTAAATCAACACACGAATTGCCCTGTGCAAAACTTTTCAACAACCCTGAGATTTTTTTTCTCTCCCATTTTCTTCTCGCCAACACATCTTTAGTTTGGATAAACAACATTGTGAAGGCAACCGACAACATCTTTAGTTTGGATAAACATCATTGGAGCAGTAGAATCAGCTGACCAATGAGCATCTTCAGTTTGGATAAATAGCACTGCTTTGGGACTGACTGGTTATTTATCCAAATCTCGATCAACAAGGATTTCTGAGTCTTTGTTGGTAAAGGTCATCTCATCAGCCTTTTAGGTGAAGTGAGGTGTTACAGGTTACTAGACTCGGCACATTGAAAGCCGAGTGTTATTTTATGATTAGATATTCGCAAGTACATTTTAGAGTTAGACATTCCGATGGCCTAACCACATTTACAATCAAGACATTTATTTCTTTCAAGTATTTTTGTCCATACAGTCTGGTACTAGTTCGGCGTACTTATACTCTCACAAATATAATTACCGAGACCAAACCCGGCGCAGACGATTCGTGAACTTCGAAGAAACTATCAGCCTTGTCTTCAGGCTCTAGAACCCAAAGGCCGAGGCATGTTCTTTCCGCGGTTGTAGTCGCAAGATTAAGAAGTCAGCAGTGCGCCCAACGCGACATCAATATACTTTACTCCCCGACCGAACTCGGTCGACGAGTTAGCATGCCCCGCACACAACCGAATGATGTAGTTAGCTTATTAGTTGCTCGACCCCCGCGCCATGTAGGCTTGGTAGTTTTTAGGGTCAACAACTAGGTACAATGGTTAGAAAAGGAATATATAAAATGACTAGGTTCAATGACTAGAAAATTATGAACATCAAATATTATTTAACATAATGTTTATCATTTTAATCCTCTCAAAAAATGGTAAAATTAGAAAGAATAAGTTATTTATATGTCTAATGTAACATCCCACATTGCCCAAGGGAGTGGATCCTGTAAGTCTTATATGTATATTCTCATCTTTACCTAGTACGAGACCTTTTGGGAGTTCATTGGCTTCGGGTTCCGTAGGAACTCCGAAGTTAAGTGAGTAGGGGCAAGAGCATTCCCGGGATGGGTGACCCACTGGGAAGTTCTCGTGTGAGTTTCCAGAAACAAAACCGTAAGGGCATGGTCGGGGCCCAAAGCGGACAATATCGTGATACGGTGGAGTCGAGCCCGGGATGTAATGAGGGCCCGGGCCGAGATGTGACAATTTGGTATCAAAGCTGATCCCTGGCCGGATATGTGTCGACGAGGACGTTGGGCCCCTAAAGAGGGTGGATTGTAACATCCCACATCACCCAAGGGAGTGGATCCTGTAAGCCTTATATGTATATTATCATCCTTTACCTAGCACGAGGCCTTTTGGGAGCTCACTGGCTTTTGATTCCGTAGGAACTCCGAAGTTAAGCGAGTAGGGACGAGAGCATTCCCAGGATGGGTGACCCACTGGGAAATTCTCGTGTGAGTTCCCAGAGACAAAACCATGAGGGCATGGTCGGGACCCAAAACAGATGATCGTGCTACGGTGGAATATAGCCCGTGATGTGGTGGGGGCTTGGGTCGGGATGTGACATCTAATTTCTTCTAATCTTCATGAAGAAAAAAGATAATTTGACGGAGCCATATGAGATAGTTAGAATAGGATAATTTAATGAAGTTTGTAATGTTGGGATTCGGAATGGAGGACAAGGAGGAAGAGACCATGAAAAACTGAAGATAGACAAAAGAAGAAGAAGAAGAATGACACATCACAGGTAAGAAAACTGAAACTCTAGGATCTAAGAAAGCTGATACCATGTGGAAATGAATTTCCTTGATTTCATTTGTGTGTAAAAAGTACAATATATTCTTCGTATGGATAGAGACTCATTGGAAACTACAAATGAATATACAATGGGCTAGGTACAATGGTTAGAAAGGAATATATAAAATGGCTAGGTTCAATGACTAGAAAATTATGAACAGTAAATATAATTTAACATAATGTTTATCCATTTTAATCCTCTCAAAAAATGGTAATTAGAAAGAAGTTACTTAAATGTCTAATTTCTTCTAATCTTCATGATGAAAAGAGATAATTTGACGGAGCCATATGAGATAGTTAGAATAAGATAATTTAACGAAGTTTGTAGCGTTGGGATTTGGAATGGAGAACAAGGAGGAAGAGGCCATGACAAACAGAAGATAGACAGAAGAAGAAGAAGAATGACGTAATCACAGGTAAGAAAACCAAAACTCTAGGATCTAAGAAATTTGATACCATGTAGAAAAGAATTTTCTTGATTTCATTTGAGTGTAAAAAGTACAATATATTCTTTGTATAGAGACTCGTTGGAAACTACAAGGGAACATACAATGGGCTAGGTACAATGGCTAGAAAAGGAATACATAAAATGGCTAGGTTCAATGGCTAGAAAATTATGAACTATTACTAGCACTTTAAAAATCTCATTCTACAATCTCACAAGTGTATTTTTTTTTTCTAATTATAAAAACTTTAGAGTGCAACATGAGATTTTTGAAGTGTCAATAACAATTCTCTAATATTTTTTAGCTGAAAGTTTATCCATTTTAATCCTCTAAAAAAATGCTTAAATTTGAAAGAAGTACTTTAATGTCTAATTTCCTTCTAATTTTGTTGAAATGAAAAATTATTCTACTGTACCTTCAATATACTTTGAATTTAGAAGCTTATCCATTCAAATTCAATCTTAGATATCAAACAATGTTTTAGTTACCAAATTGGTGTGCTACTGCTCTTTCCTTAGACAAAACATCTGTTGTTTAGAAAGCTTGATATAGTATCAATTAGTTAACAACTAGTCAATAACAAAACATTTTGACATGTTATAGATCTATTATTAGCATCATCAATAGAAAATTCATTCTTGAACAGAAAATAAAGGTCTTGCAATCAAGTTCCTCAAAAAAAAAAAAAAAAAATTACATGTAGTAGACAAGAGACCCAAACGCGCTAGAGGGAGGATTATGAGGGTTCACGAAAACGTCCACGCAATCAGGTGCGGATGGGCTCACAGTAGCATAGAGTAGACGGGAGTGGAGGTCCCACTGTACAAAACAAAGGGAAAGAGAGATCACATGTGATCACATGATGTTCTTGAACCTAACACCGCCCATGTGCCCCAGTACCTTCTCCCCACCCCTCCTCTCTCATTTCTTCCTATAATCTACATCACTGGCTTAGCATGGTTGCCAAGTGGCACTTCTCTCCTGACCCACTCTTGAGCCCCACAAAAATCCCTTATCTTAAAGCTTCAATTAATCTAATTATCCTTTAGTATAATAACATTACTTGACTGCTACAAATTCAGCAGCAACTCCTACTTCTATTCAATTACAGATGTACAGGTGTCTAAATAATTAAAATTGTAAACACAAATTGAACACGTGTTTACTTGTAATTGGGTAAAAGCAGGAACTGGTACTAAATTTGCAACGTCCAAATAGCGTTCAAAGACTAGAGGTGGTGAACTAGAAGTAGTTGCCCTATGATACTAGACTACGATTACTTGTTATAAGTTGTTGATATAGTGATGTTGTAATATGAGTATAGGTGTTGTTATTGATACTCTACGCTAGTACATGTGTACTCTTCTCGTGAAGAAATTTAAGAGAAAAATAACATTAGTAAGCCCTAGTTTGGTACTGAGGTGATTATGAAAAAAAGTGGCTATAAAAAAAAGCTGGGAGCTTTTTCATGTTTGGTAAACATTCAGCTTCAACTTTTTTTCACAGTTTCGGGTGAAAAAAATCCAAAAGCACAAAGCTGCAAAACCCAGCTTTGAAAAACCAGATTTTTTTCACATTTGCTTTACATAAAAGTTTTTCAAACACTATAATACCGCTTTTTTTTTTTTTTTTTCAAAAACACTTTTACAAAAAAGTTTGCCAAACACTCTGATGTTTTATTTCACAGCTGCTTATTCTCACAGCACAGCAGAAATAGTTTTTTTTCAAAGCACAACAATACCAAACCAGTCCTAAAAAGTTCAAAATAACTTTTTAGAAGTGTCAATATCTTTCATTTATTAATATTGTTCGTTCATATTATAATATACATGTTGATTATATCACATGACAATACTTCAACACCATCCAGTACTTTTAGAGATTTTATGTGGTGATGCAGGAGTATCTTTTTAGCTACTTGGCGATTGGCCAAAAATATAAAATCAAAATTTATTAATTAAAAAATATAGAATACTTCAAAACAAGATAAGATTTCTAATATTTTTATAAAATCACGAGTGAGAAAGATACTATGTAGACCTGTAAAAGCGTCGATTCTATATAATTTGGGTTGATTTCGACTCGATTCGTTAAATTAATGATCATCTAAACCTAACTCGTTAAACTAATGATCACCTAAACCTAACCCGTTAAACGGGACGGTTTTATAGGTGAGTGAGTAAGGTGTTATGGCGAAGGAGTGGTGGTGTTTCCAAGGAGGAAACCAGTGGGTGGTTTGGTTCATTGGGATTGTGATAGGGATTTTGGTAGTGTTGGGCATATGGCCCTTCCGTCCTTCCTTCTATTGTTGCTGTCACATTCCCACACTGCATCCTCTTGTGATTATATTATACTTTATTATTCTACCCAAATAAATAATATTTCTTGGATCACCATCAGAATCGAATCACATAATCCCAACCGTCCATTTCTTTATTCCGTACTCAAATCAAGTACATACTTCCTCAGGTGATCAGGTTGGTAATCATCTTGTTAGGGTCAGTAACTCAATCGTTACTGCAGAGAAAAACTTACCTAAACTCGAATATCTCTGACGTGTGAGTTCATGTTTCTCGTTCTTTGCTTTTTTGTGCAACAATTAATGAATCTTTACAACATTTAAATCTTGGAAGTTTTAACGAAAAACTTGCGGTATTGTTGATTTTAACGAAAAATCATATTTTTACACTAAAAAGTCAATCCTGGTACTATTCACTTTATCCTTTTTTTTATCCTTATCGTTAAAACTTAAAGTGTTCAAACCCTTTTCATTAGTTTTCTTTTAAATCTTACAGAAAATCCGTACCACTGAATGACGCGAGGAGTCAAGATTGAATTCAAATGAAATCACAATTAATCCCACAAGTCCTAATAAGTAGGTAAGCAAGAAGGGGAGGAGGATGAGGGATGCATGTGCAAGGGTAAGGCTGGGGTCCATGTGATGGTGCTCATGGGGACAAGGCATACGTGCAGAGGGGGTCCATAATCCATATGGCGCAGCAGCTGCTGCAGCATAAAAGTAGGGAGAGAGAGAAGGTGTGTATTTGATGCATCATTTCATGCATGTGAGATTTGCATTTGTTTTGTGTTATATGAGTCAGAAACCGACAGTTGCCTTGTTGTTTGTTGCTGGATGTCCATGGCTGCCAACTCGTCGTTTGAAAGTGTTTTTAAAATGATTAAAGTATTTTTAAAATCAATCATTAGTAAAAATTCAAGTAGATTATGGAAAAACACTTTAAGTGTTTCCTGCAAGAAGTACATATATGGTGCTTCTTTTAAAAAATGCTTAAAGTACTTTTGGAACCTAAAATTAATTTACTAAAAGCACTTTCAGTCATTTTAAAAATATTTTCAAACAAGTCTACTCCCCCACTTTTTAACATTAGTGATTATTCAGTAACCATACCCGCTCACTTTTGACTGTTCTTTCAATTTGGGCCTAACTCTTGTGGCCCAATCTCTCGTTTGACTTTGGGGGGGTTGGCTTAGACGCCATTGAGGTTGAGCTTTGGTATCGAATTGGCCAACCAAGATACGATGAAATGTTGACAAATGTCCATTGTGAGTCGATTCTAAGGTTGGGTCTAAGATTCATGTTCCAATTCGAAATGCATTCAGGGCCTCTCAAACACCGGTCGTCTTAGACGACTTTGAGAGTGAGCTTTGTTATCGAACTGGCCGACCAGGGTAGGATTGAATTTCAAGAAATGTCCGTTCTCCGCATCAAAGCTTGTTAGTCTCTCTCCTGTTTTTGGCTTCTGCCAAAGATTCGTGACCTAATCCGAAATGCATTTAGGCCAACCAAACACCGAGCGAGACTTTGGTCCAACTCTATTAGAATAGTCATGTTCAAGTTAGTCCGGTAGACTAAACCCAAAAAAGCCTTGGACAAGAATTTATATTGCCCAAGTATGATGAAAGAATCTTGCGTAGTCGTAAATACTATGGCTTCTATGAGAAATGAGAATCCTGAACAGATTCCCACAACTTAATTACTCAACTCCTTCTGTGCTATTGCAGCTTTTCTGCAACCAGTACAAGAGAACTGGCCATCTTTTACCGCCAGCACTCCACAAAGGCTCCCAAAACTTGGAGAAAGAACTTAGGCGCAACACTAAAGGATGGCGGCAGCATCCTCGAGATACTGCTACCATGACGTCCTAATTGCATGTAAGTTTCTCCATAGCGCGTTACGAGCCATGCCCATGTATCATGAGTAGTGGAATAAAAACTACATGTACAATTGTTTCATTCAGCATCAGGTAAAAGGGCAAAGAGAGTTTCGTTTTTGAATTTGATTGTATAATTTTTGCTGACAGTTTCTTCAACGAAAGATAAATGTACTCGTCTCTAAACATAACCAGAGAAAGTTGGCTCTTGAAAGGAAAGCACCCGCCTCGCTTAGTGGTTTTCCTCACAACCTCCCTTGGAGTTCTTTTCGTTCCCTTTGAAGACGGAACCTCCCTCCCACGCATGAACTCTGCTCCATCTTCCTCTTCTGTATGAAATTTTTTCTCCATCCGGCACCATTTCCATGACCCAAGTATCGTAATTATGCTTCCCTAATACATCCTTGACATGCCAAACTGAACAGTTCCAACCTTACGGTGGGCTGCTGCAGTGGCAGCAGCAGCGCCGATCCCACCATATGGAGCCTTTGTCTGCAGGTAGTTGGTGTCAATAGCAATTCGATCATCATTTTCCACTTTAGGAACTCCAACCCGAGTCATAAAAAATGGGTTCGAGTCAATGCTGATAGCTACATCTGGTGCTACTTTCGTTGCCATGCCACAATGTGCAGCTTGCTTGGCTTGTGAGGACATGTCCCTATCAACTTCCACCACAGATCTTTCCTGATTTCCAGCACTGGGCTTGCGGTAACAATAAGCAGGAGGGGCAGCCTGAGGGAGAAGTACCGAACCTCCAACTAGTGTCCTCCGGTCATAGTCATCTTTCATCATGTTTCTATTATCGTATTGTGCAACAGGTCCAACAACTCTTCCTGGTTTGGCTGGATAAGTGCCCAAAAGCAAGTTAAAACTAAATGGAAAAATAAGAAACGAACGGAATTGCTACAAATTCTACAAAGTTATTGATAGTACCCAAAGAAATTCTTTGTGGTGTTTGCATGGTTCTTGATAGATTTACGTGAATTGCTTCCGAATCCCTTGAATTCCTGTATGCCTCTTTGGCATTTTTCTGATCTTTCAAAAATGCATAATTTGGTTGCTCTTTGGGAGGGACCGTATTTGAATGTACAATTGTGGACCTGAAAATATTTAACACATTCACCATTATCATAACCATAGACAATCAGATAAAAATCATACCCGTAGCTTTGCCAGGAATGGAAGAACAGTGCAGGTCATAAGCCGAAGGTATCCTAGCACTATAAAAAGGGATAGAACAATAGGCTCAACTGAGTGATCAATGGCCCTAATAACAAGGTAATGTCCTAAAAAGGGACTGCTTGATGGGCCGGGAAGTAGCAGGACATTTCATAGTAGAGCACTTAGAAGATGACCAACTTGCCTAACAGTAGATCCAACCTCGTCCTATCAAGGTGATGACAGTGCATCAGCACTTGGCTTGCATCATTTCTATAGCAGCTTGTAAAAAATAAACAGAAGGAAATTACATTTTACCTAGGAAGCGACACGTGCTTTCGTTCAAGTGGAATAACTGGACCACTTTTACCCCCATTCTCCTCAAGGTGCGCAAACTGCTTTCTAAATTGATCCACAGCACTGCATACACATACAAACAAAATTAGGGCAAATAACATAAAGAACCTTGACCAATCTATGCAACAATATGTGAATACAGAAAGCAACTATAGCTGTTTGAACCTTGGATAGAGAAAATTAGTTCTCTCAGTTCCATTTATGTAGTCTTTTAGCAACTGAGGATGGTACTCCAATATCTCCCGAAAAATTAGCTCCCGTATGTCTTCCTTTGTAACTCTTCGCCTTTCAAATTCAAATTCCATCTTTGTAATTGGTTGGCACGAAGGTTCCCTCTCAATTCTCGACAGTCCCTTAAAATAAGGATCGGCAAGTGCCTGGTGAAAACATAAGATGCTGAGTTTAACACATTTTCCATAAAGTGGCTGGATATATGCACTGGCACGCACACTGAGGAATACAAAGAAAGCAGATGGCCTAATATGATATGACAAACCTGTTCGGCAGTTGGCCGGTCCTTGGGATCAAAGGCAAGCAATCTTTCCAGAAGTCGTAGTGCTAAAGGATCAGCATTTGGAAATTTTTGTGCAAAACACACAGGTTGTTTTTTCCTCATACTGGTTAAGTATTTCCTTGCCTTTTCATTTCGAACCTGCATTCAAACAATGTACAAGGTTATTATTTTAAGCGAGTGTAGCAACAAGCTTATTGTGGAAGAGGCACAAGCTTAAATACATAAAGAGTAAACTGCCGACTTGGTCCCTAAATTATTACCCTATTGAAAATCAAGTCTATAAACTTTTTTTTTTTTTTTTTTGCAAAAAAAAGTCGTTAAAGTCATTGTAATAGATAATTTCATCCCTACTATTAGATTTGTAGCTTATATCCAATTTTCTGTTGATTAGTCACATGACTTGCACATGAAACTAGAGAAGGTAAACCCATAATTTTCTCACCCGTAAGCCCTTAATGTTGCATATAGGTTGCAAATCTAACTGCCAATTTATCGTCCAAAGTTAGCTTCATATACTATTTTTTTCGTAATAATAAGTCGTTAAACTCATTAAAAACTACTAATCTACTCTCCAAACTGTATCACATGCAAGTTGCGTGATTTAAATTGACAGAAGATTCAATAGAATAGCTTTGAATCCTATAGTAGGAATGGAATTGGCAAGTATTATTAAGGACTTATTTTTCTGAAAAAAATAGTCTATGAACTTATTTTTCACTCAAGTAATAATTTAGGAACCGAATCGGCACATTACTCAATAAATAATTAGAATAATAATGATAATAAAAATAATAATAATAATAAAAACTAAGTAACAGAATGCATTGCATCAGAAAAGACGGGTTACCCGGGATATGGTATCTAATGATGGTGTCCCAAGAAGATCAGTCATCAAATCCAGCTGGTGAACAACATTCTTTCCAGGAAAAAGTGGCTTTCCTGTTAATACCTCAGCAAAGATGCAGCCTATACTCCATATATCAATCGCAGGGGTATACTGCATTCACATGTTTTCACAAATTAATAGGTAGGAAATTAAAAAAGTACTTGCTCAAGAACAAGAATCTTAGTAGAGAATAATTTACACGAACGACAGGCATGCCACATCTCCTCTAAATTCGAAATAATGATCATAAGAATGCAGCTGAAATACACAGACGGGAATGATATGTGTGTTGCATTTAGATGCACTATCTTAGCCAAACGACAGTATAGAAGCTGCATTGAGTTACTAAACTCAGATCAACCGATTTGTAAACTCGCCTGATTAAACTGTACTGAATTTAAACTGTTTAAGAAAACCTATGAGAAGCTCTACCTTAGAGAAAAAGGATCCGCAAAGCTCTGGAGCTCTATACCATCTCGTTGCAACATAGTCCTGCAGATGTCCCCAATAAATATGAAGTATTAGTGCTATATTTAAAACATAATGTTGGAAACATTATCATATGCTCTGAAAATCACTCTAGCATTGATAAACTACATATCACAAAATTACGTACTGTCCAAAATATTGTCGTAGGCGTATCATTGAATGCAACTCTCGCTAACCCAAAATCACAAATTTTAAGCTTACAATTCGCATTTGCCAATATGTTCTTCGGTTTTAAATCTCGATGGTAGACATTTGCTGCAGTCAAATTAGAGTATCAGATATGTCAACAATATCCCAACATCCTCACCCCCCCCCCTTCTTTTTCTCCCCAACCAAAAAGAAAAGAACATGAAGGGGGAGGGGAGGGAGAGAGAAAACAAGACAATAAAAGAGAATCCCGATAATAAGAGCAATCAAAACAAAACTGAAAACAGAACAGGACAATCAACCACTAGAAACACCATGGAACACATGAAAGTATGTGCAGACACACACAAAGTGATTAAAGAGCAAGAAGTACCTGTGTGAATATACTTCAACGCGCGAAGCAGCTGGTAAAGAAAGAACTGATAGTGTTCTCGTGTCAGGTCATCATTGGCTTTGATAACTTGATGAAGATCTGATTCCATGAGCTCAAAAACAACATAGATATCTTTAAAGTCTCTTCGAGAAGGTGGCAGCATAATGTGCTTAATTTCAACAATGTCGGGATGTCGTAGAAGTCTGAGAAGCTTTATCTCACGAAGAATACGAGCGGCATCAGATATATGCTCAAAAATGTCGTGTATTTTTTTTATTGCCACTTTTTCACCTGTATGTGTGTCTATTGCTGAGCAAACAACACCATAGCTTCCTTTCCCAATAACTTCCTGAATTTTGTACCGATTGGCATCACCATAATCCGAGAAGAAGTCCATCTCTGTTTGATTCTGTTGCATTGAATCCAATTCAGATCAGAATACAGAAAGGTACAAGAATAGTACAGAAATCTAAATGAAAATGAGCATAGGTGTTTTATGTACGACTATATAACAAGTCTGAGCACAAAGACATCAGAAAGGTACAAGAATAGTACAGAAATATTGATATACATACATATATATATCTACATAATACATCGTCATTCTTAATAATAAAGTTACAAAAAGATCATAAGATGCCATGCAATCACTACAATATTTCTAATGTGTTCCAACTTCCAGATTATATGATAATTTACAGTAACCATGATGATGCATAAATAAGAACTTACTAATCCCCCTTGTGGTTTCTGAACATTTTCCAATCACATAACTTTTTATGGACAACATCTAAAAGTCCTAACTGTCAACTCCAATCAAACTAAAAATAAAAGGCCAAAAACCAAAAAGAAGCACAACCAATACCTCAAATTCCTGTAACTATTCCAGCAGTTTTAGAAGTAAAGGATGCGGCAACGAAAATTGACAGATACAAAAACTGATGCGGGCAAACGAGACGAGATATATAAAACACCCCGCAGAGAAAAATATAATTTTATTCGAGAGGAATCTAGTCCAGAAAAAGAGAGGCAAGGAGCCATGAAATTGGCATAAATGATCTCAAAAGAGAAGCATAAGCATTAAATTGAATTGGTAAAGTACCAGAATAAGAATGGAAACATATTTATCAAAGATTATTCGCATTAACTAATGCCGTTATCCATTATGACTGTTATAAAACAAAAACTAAATCTAACAGCCGTTAATTATAGATCAATAATTATGTTGCAATTTTAGCTAACACATGTCCCACTCAATCAGCGGACATTTGAAATAAAACTCCATTTCAAATCTCAATTGCACAAAGATCTCAACTTTCATGATAAACCAATAAGAAAATACAATATGATTGCTTCAAATAGCACAGACATGATGAATCAAATCAAGTTTCAATAATTAAAACACAATTGCAATTATTGATAAATAATTACTTTAACAAATCAAAGAATTGGAAATTAAGAGATTAAGTAACAGAAACCAATTGAAAGTCACCTTCTTGGTGTGCTCCTGCTGCATTTCTGTGTCAAACCCTGAACTCGAAATCTCGAAAACTCGAAAAAGTAAGCCAAAAAGCTCTTACCCAGCTAAGATCAAGCAAAAATAGAAAGAAACCAGGTCCTCAAATCCCACAAGGACTCAGCCACATTTGCCCCACCTTCCCCTGCTCCTTATCACAAGCCCACAATCCCACCTTGTTCTCAATCCCAACTTCACCCAGCATAGAACCCACAAGACCAAATCCCTCATGCACTCCTCCAATTCTGATTGCAATCCTCCCAAAACCTTACTCACTGAATAACAATACCAACAAGGCAGCCCACCAACTACCACCATAAAGCACCAAACACATAAAGCTTTAACATTTTCCAATTCAAATGCAAAACCACAAAATAAAATTATACCCTTTTGTATTTTAACTCGGTTTCGAAGGAGAATGGGAAGCAAGATGAAGAAAGAGCAACAGTTGGAGCGCCACAGAGCTTGTATTCTACAAGATCTGATGGCACCGACAAAAGGGGTGAGAGGACTCAGAGAGAGAGATATAAGGAAAAAATCTAGGGGGGGGGGTGGGTGGGATCGTATGCAGAACGTATGGATACGGAAATAAAAGATATATAAATAATGATGGAGATGTACAGGGAGGCGGTGGAGATGCAACAGCGAGGAAATGTACAGGTTGTTTCGGCAATGTGGTTTTGAGGGTGAGCGATAAGAAAATTTTCAAATTATCGGTATTCAAGCGTGTACTCAACAACTGCATAAAATAAGTAAAAAAGACACGAAAAATATATCGTTTTTTTCACTTGTATATAACATGTAGAGCACCGTTTAAACAGACGATACTTACAAAATCTCTTGTGAGTGAGGTGACAGATCAACCGATTCTGTATGGTTTCAAACTGTAAATATTCCAATTACCCATTTTGCACTTGCTTTATCAACAGATTCTGTATGGTTTCAAACTGTTAATATTCTAATTACCCAATTTGCACTTGCTTTTCTTGCTGATTCACGAATCACAGAGTTAGTTGGCGGGGGGTGCTGGACACGTGGCGAATTTTAATTGGGTTAAAGGGAGGTTGGTGGGAATAGGTGGGAGGTCAAAAAAGGTGCCACATTAGGAAGTGGTTTGGTTTATGATAATTATCATGATGACGACACTAATCATGATTTGATAAATATTTGATTTTTTTTTATGAATAAAAATCTGACAAATATTATTTTTATGAAACAAAATAAAGTACAACTTGAATCTCCTTAGGATTTCCTACAACATTACAGTCAAACAAAATTTTCAAGTCACCACATAAGGAAGTTTGGAAAACCAAATACAGAAATTTTGTATATTTTGTCTTCAATTAACGATAACGTCTGCTACTAAATTAGCCTTCCCAAACAAATATTAGAAATAATATCAAATTTTTTATAAAATAAAACAAAGTACAAAACTTAAATGTGATTGTTATAATAAGTAAAACGTGACTATAATGAATTAAAATTGCCTAAGTTAAATTAGATAGACGTGAAACCACTAAATATAATTAATAAATATTTGATATAAAACATTTAGCTAATTTGCTTCTCATCAACAAAATTAGCTAATCTACAAGTCACATAAATTGTTGTTACATCGGCTGAGTGAAAGCTAACCTATGATCGCTAATTGGAAAATGAAAATTAAACATACCTCAAAACAAATCAGAACATGTCATAATATGTAGTTTAGTAATCAAATAATGATACCTCGTGACAAATTTAATCATGCATCACACGTGTTAATCAAGAAGCAATGCTTTAAAGATGGGTTGTTTTCAACCTTTACTTAGGTGTCTACCTTATTGATGAATTAGTCTGTATCAATCAGTGAATTAACATTAAATATAGTTTCACGTGACAATACATGAATGGTCGAAGGTTTTATATAATTTATTTTTTAATACACATGATTTTAAATACATTAAGGAGTGAGAGAATGAGTTAAACCTCATAATAAGTTAGACAGTAAATTTGGTTCGAATTCACTTTTAACGATAATTGAATTTAAAACTTTTCACTTACAAATAAAGAGAAATATGCTAAAACCGGTAAATTTCACGTATTTTAATAGAAGCACCCACAAAAAAATAGTTGAGCGTTATCTTCTCGGTTTTGATTATGTGGCTGAAATTTATTTTGTCTTTCAATTACGTTTGTGATCGTTGATTTGTATTCTTTATCTATGATTTTCTTCATCTTAAATGATTAATGACTTTTTTAAGTCTTAAAAAACAAAAGAGTTGGTCATGCTCATACGTACGTACGTAGCGCATATATATATATATATATATTTGTATATATAAGCAACCAAATATAAGGTATTCGTACTGCTCTTGTGGTATTTATCATGTTTACTAGTTTCAATTCCAACAACAGATTTACATACATGTATTTGTTACCTTCATTTTATATACACACACATATATATGCATGTAACCATTTTTAAGAATATGCATGTGAATGTGATAATATATAATATATACCTTTTTTAGTAAGTATATTTGTTTTTCTTTGGATACAATCATTGGTGGATCCAGATTCGAATTTTGGGTGGTCTCATTGTTAAAATTTCATGGTTCACTGAGACATTTTGTCGAACACTTGATGAATGATATCGAGAGTATCGAGCATTGTCTCACAACTTGTCGAGATACACCAAGCAGAAATCACATCAAACACTTAGGAGGTACAAAGGAACCTGTACAAAACAATTGGATGGTCCTTGGAAGATCTTCATTCTTATATTTTTTAAACTCTGGGTGATCCTAAGACCATCCAGGTCCCAATGTACATCAACCTCTGGAAACAATGTATATACAAGTATTTGGTTGAAATTTATTGAAGGACAAGTAATTTGATTTACAATCCAATACATCATTGTATTATACACGTATAGAAGACACGAACTTGAGATATTATTTTATCCGTTTGGTACTGAATTGTTTTTGTTTTCTGGGTAACTTGGAAACTTGAAAGGATGCACCACACCTTCCAACATGGACGTTTTATCCAACCTCAATAGACTTCGGAAGAAAAAGTGCCAAATCTCAAGTATATTGTTTTTTATTTGTTGGGTTGATATTTTTTATTTTTATTTATATAAATAAACAATTACATGTATGAATATAAAAATCGGTATATTGACTTGTTATAAAATATTGTGTTTGCAGCTACAGACCAGAGACAACGATTTTGGAACTGACTAAAAGCTGAATCCTGAGTTTTTCTTCTTATTGGTGAGCCACATTTGTTTTTCACTTATGAAAGCATTAGAAGAAGAAGAAGAAAAAAAAAAAAAAAAAGAAAAGAAAAAAGAAGCTTTTTAGCCAAAATGGTTAATGAGATAAGATTTGTCAGGTGCACAAACTCATGATCAGTTCAATGAATTTTCATTGTCATGGAGCAAATTAAAGAGTTATGTCAATCTCAAAAATTGTTTCGACTAAAAAGCCAAAAAACTAAACAACATAATCCATTTATCAAAACTGAACTTAAGATTTCCTAACTATAGATATCTCTTTAAACTTTTGACTTAATCTTGTATCTCAAGGAAGAAATTAACTCTCAAATTATCAAATTTGATCATATATCTCTTGTCGATTGATAAGAAATTTTACGGGCATATCTATGTACATATACACTAGGTTTTAAGTATAGATATTGCATTATTTCAAGTTACATACATATTGGCTAGATTTTAAGTGCACATGCTTGTTACATGACTATGTAGAATTCAATCAGTCAACGAAAATTTTTATGTACACAAAACATTAATACCTAGTGTATCATGCATTTTACATGTTATAATATAAGTAAGTGACATAATTTGTCACACTTTTAAGATATTATAAAAAATAGCATATATAAGTATTTTATTTAGTTTGTTAGGAAAAATAACATTACATTGCATGACGGTTCTATAAAAATGCATTAAAATTGAGGAGAGAGTTATATCATCCATATGTGTACAAAAAAAGGCACAGAAGAAGAGATTAAAATTGTAGAAAAAGAGGACAAAAATGAGATCTCAAACTCAAATTTTCAAAGAAAAAGCTTACACAAAAAAATATATGGACACCACTGCGCGATCCAAAACGATCTCGATCACTTCAAATCAGTTTGAAATTTGAAGTTTGAAGTTTGGAGAAGTGGAGGCCGACCACAAAAGTTGGGGGGCACAATAGCTGCATACCTTTTTTTTTATTAACGTGTGGATGTGGGACATGTAAGCATCCACTAATCATATTAATTATCCAATTTAAACTTTTTTTTATCTTTGTAAAAGAAAAAGAAAAGTTGTTTGTCTAATCATTCTTTGAAAAAAATATTAACCACTTTAAAGAAAATAAATTTTTTATGATGAACGAATATAAAATATTATATCTTCCGTAAAAATTTTAAATAATCAATATGATATAAAAGAACATTACTTATGAGATTTTTTTATTTATAAATACAAATAAGGCAATTGAACGCATTTTTTTATTACACAATCGCGTAACAAAAATAAACACGACACTTTCTAATTTTTTTTTCCTTTCTTCTCACGAGTGTTTGGTCGTACCTGTCAACATTCAATTCTATATTACCCTGCGCTTTATAGCAAAAGACAAACATATATTATGATATATGTGCTAAAAATTATATATGTAGAAGATGTCACTTTCTCCAATATCTTGCCGTGAAACTCCAGGGGATACAGATTAGAATGAAGATGATTTGCCATGAATGTTAAATTAAGGATTAATTAATAATTAGATTTACTAATTGCCTTGCTTTCACAATCACGCATGAAAAAGAGGAAGCCGATGGAGGGCCGAATCTTGCTCACCAAAAAAGTGTTCATTTCATTCAATCATTTTGTTTGCAGTCCAAGCCTACAAAAGCTAGCTAGTAATTGGTTGTTGATTACAATATTTGCCGATAAGTTCCCTCTTACAATCTTATATGTATTTGTATCTAGTGGAGACGCATCGTGGGATGCATTCCCAGCTATATATATGTAGGGTTAGAACTCAGAGATACACGTTTTTCATACATATTTTGAGACGTATTTTGGAAGGTTTACTTTGTAATATAGTTAAATGATCTGAATCATCTGTATTTTTCTACATCATTAATAGATCATCATTGCAAAAAGTTAGACAAATCCCTACACATTAAGATATTCATATGGTTTCGAATTTGGGTGATTTTTAGTAAACATAATCTTTGAGGTAAGACATAAAATATAAATAGTTGAATCGTTGAAATATATTACATAATGAGCCCCACAAAAACATATGTTAAATTGTGTGTGAAAACGTGTTCCTAAATTCTAACTCATATATTTACATATTTTAAACTTGTTCAATGAAAACATAAAATAAAAAAACTATCCAATATATAGACAATAGTTTGTCTTCAATCATACCAAAATCAAAGGTATAGAAGAGATTATTGATCTTAGATTAGGACAAGGTAGGCACAAAACGTTAATCATCAACTTAACTACTTACTAACTCAATAGGTTTATGTATTGATAATGCCAATATTTGTATTAATAATGTT